AAGTTTTGTTTTCAGCATATTAAGGTTATTGATTAGGCTGGCGATTCCACAAGGGGGGGGGGGGGGGAGGTGTATTATTTAAAAATTCATAATGCTTTTAGGTGCATGTTCAGTGACCTACTTTTTTGAGGAAGAAAAATTCCTACAATTCTTTTGAAAGTGGTGCGTCGCCGCTGCATCTGGCCCCGGAAATCAGTGGTGCTTCGAACGAGTGCAGCGCGAACAAGCGCGCACACGTGGATGGAACCGTGGACCTGGCGTGTCGTCGATTTGCCGCTGCTCGCTTGCCCGTTGGAAACGATTGCCCGGGACTGTGTAGACTTCCCTTCTGTGTGGCCTGTTTGGAGAAGGCACGGCTACGGCCATAGTGTTCAGCTTCCTCACCCCTTGGGGATTCATAGCGCATCGTTGGTGTGGAACGGGTGGCACTCTTTTTAAATCCTTTATATTAAGTTCACTTGCTTGCTTGCGTGCTTGCTTGCTTGCTTGCGTGCTTACGACCGTGCAAATCTTTCGGTCGTTTTTTAACCCACTTCCCGTGATCCAATCGAGCTGACATTTTGCACACAGACTCGTTGTGCGTGACGATTTATTTTCGTGAAATTTTTTTCCTAAATTTTCTACATTTTAGGATTTTTTTTTATATTTAATTACCAATTGCTTAATGGTGGCAGGCAATCATCTGACCCATAGGTGGCAGCCATCTCAAGCCAGAGGACGAGAGGACTCTAGCCGCCACGCATATAAAGGATTTATAGTGAAAAACTTAGTTTTTACGGGTAAATTTTTTACATGTTCTCCCTTTGGCGCTGAGTCGTAACGTCATATATATATACCCTCATGTGGTCGATGTCTCTCTTCCGTCCTGATGTCATGAATTAAGTGGTGGCTAGAATTCCATGTAAAGTCATTCACATTTGTTATTTAATCATTTTTGAGATATATTTGATGTATCAGGCTTCTAAGAATTGTGCATCTGCACAATGTCTACACAAGGATAACAACGATTTAAGTGCTCTGTTTTGCTCAAACATGAGGGCTCTTAATAGGATTTGGTGGAGTGTCTTACATAAATCACAATATGTTATTGTGGTTGTTGTTTCAATGATGAAACTAGACTGTGAAAGCTCACCGTTTTTTCTCATTGTTGATTTGTAACGCTGGCCCAGGTACCGACGTCTCATCCTAAATATGCGATTTCAATGATATAATGCCTGGGAGTAATTTTGTAGTCATTATTTATATTTGGTTTGGTTGTTTTTATTACGCAATGCATGGCTTCTTAAGTCAAGGGCGTCACCAACCTTGGGAGGGTGTCAGACTGGGTGTGGATAGGGCCCATCTAGACCGAGATACTATCGTGATAACTGTCCTTGGGCCCAGGTCTTTATGAGGCCATAGTGTGGAAGATAAAGCGTGCGAGGGAGGGGGTGCTTCCTCTAGATTTTGTCACTGGTCCAGAGTAGTCAAGGATGCTGCTGCGTTTATATATGGATGTTGAACTTATTTTGTACTGTACGTAGCCAAACGTGCTAATCAGAGGTGCGGTTAAAGGACAACAAACTAAATATAAAAAGCAGTTGTAAGAAATCAGTTTTCAATCTAGATGATTTAAAAGTGCGTCGCTCCAGCGGCTTCCTAATATCGGAAGGAAGAGCGTTCCAGACGGCTGCAGAAGCGCGTCTGAAAGCGCGCGATGCAGTGACCATCTTTGTTCGATGGCCAGCTAAAAGCTGCTGCGAGGATGACCGGAGTTCGCGCGATGATTTATGCTCCTTGACGAGATCGGCAAGGTATTGTTATTAATTTATGGAAAGCACATCGTGTGCGATGAGTGTGACCTTGCAATGTATGCGTTCGACAACCGGAGACCAATGCAGCATGGCGAGCACCGGACGGTCGCGGTCGGATTTGGCAGTACCCGTGACGACGCACGTAGTGTAACGGTGAACGCAGTCGACTTGCTGTTCAGAGGTCGCCACTTTGCTTCGCTCTCCACGCTCCGCAGTTTAAATCTTGGGCAAGGTATGTTAGATCCCACCGCATCGCAAATTCAGTCGTATAAATCGGGTGCAGTTCGTTGATCGGGAGGCCGTGTGCGGCAGGGTAAAGTTACGGGTACTGCAATCTCTTCCAAGACGTATGACAACTTTGGAAGAGTAGGCCTAAATACCCTCTTTATGGACTTGCCTTAGCTCTCCTTCGTCCGTCAGGGGGGGGGGGGGAGGGGCCTTTTTGTCAGCAGTGGTGCGAGGAAAGAAATTGCGGGGATGCGCCTTCACCTTTAACAGAGTAGTCTGTGCGTAGGCCTCCTTGCGACGGCTTTGATTTCCAAATTTTACACGCAACCCTTTGTCGGGACATTTCAAGGTTGTAATTGCACATTTAGCAGTAAACAGCCGCACGCATTAGGTAATATTAATAAAATATAATAATCACTCAAATCCAGGAAAGCCACACCGAGTCCCTAGACCGAAGGTCCTGTTCAGAGTTTTCGTTTTAAGAAGTTTTCAGCCAGTTTACGATCGTTTATATGTGTGGGAGGAAGCCAAGGGGGCAACACTCCATCTCCGTACAGATGGGTGATTCGTCTACTTTCTGTACTGCCTTCTGACGAGCCAGGGTATGGCACCTCGATGCCCATGGTAAGGGAGTTTCACGACATTCCACGTTAGTGTGATTTACCAAGCCTCTCGCCTCCACAGCGCTGGATTACAGGCGTGCATAGCCGCCACCACCACCACCAAACTGCAAGTGCCAATACACTGCGGCCTTTGTTTTCTTTCTTACTCATTTATACCTTCTCATTCAAGGCCACTGAATGGACAGACTTGATAAATGTAATTTTATTTTTTTGTTTTGTATCATTTATTTTCGTAGCATTCTTGGTCCATTCACAAGGCAGTGTATTGAGTCCTTTTAAACCCAGATGCAATATCTTGGCTTAGGCGGTGACCTACATTTGAAAAGGTTTTTTTTTTAAGTCCTATGGTGCAGCTTGAGTCTGTGGATTGCGACATGTTTTTTCAGATTTTATTACCCTGTTTCCAGTGAAAACAGGAAAAGGTCTGAATGAGCGCTTCCGGTCATAGGCGAAGGTGGTGGGGAGGGGGAGCTTGGGGTTTACCAATGTTTACAAGCAACTTGTTGTATGCTGCGCACTGGCCAATGTGGTTACGTTATGTAATCAAAATTGGTATGCAACATGTAGCCGTGCGAGTTCCATAGATCATGTGCATCGAAAATTATTGCGTTTTTTTGAAACGTCTGCTTATATATTTAGAGTAGCGGTGCAGTGGCTTTTGTTAATTTATGTCATGCCTAACTTTGCTACTACTCTGTCCATTCAAAACAGAAACTGATTTTCAGCAACTGCAATGCACATGAGCGTGGAATTCCAAGCAAATAATATGGCCTAAACATTTCACTGTTTTCCACTGCTTTTGTTGTTTTAATTTATACTTTGTTGTATGATTGCTCGTGTTAAAATGTGTTTTTTGAGCCGTTAAAAATTACGTAAGTGCCTCTACATTGCGGCTGGCCTCGTGGTCTGGCAATACAGCTTGAGTCACAGTCCATGGTTTCCTGGTTCTAACCCCAACGCCACCATCTCCACCCTCTGTTAGGCGTCAAGATAAACACTGTTTGGACACAGCGTAAAACGCTGCAATGCCTGAACGCTTCTCTCACCCATTGCATTTTCAGAGGGGGGTGGGGGCACTTCTGCTGATAACACATAATCAGTTGCGAGGGCCACCGCACATTTGAAACCTTTGGGGTTTGACAGCACGACGGTGATGATGATGGGGGGGGGGGGGGTGTTTTCACGTGTTGTGTATTGTCGGGGGGGGGGGGGGGCGCACACGTCAGGGGCTGCACAAGAGGCCACCAGGGGCTGCCAGTGGCCCGCGGGCCTTGCAATGAACAACACTGCCGTGACACCTTTTGCAAGGCCCAGGTCATTGTGAATGGCGTAATTTGCCGTGCAGCCACGTGCTGCACAGAAAATTAAGCAAACGATGATGCCTGCAGAGCGATGGTTGTCATGTTGTCTATGCATTTGAACACCGTTGCACTTTTTCGTCTTTTAAAAGCCGCGCGTGATTAAATTAGTTAATAAATAATTTGGATTTTATCTTTTTTATTGGCAAATATTACGACATGGTAGATTTGAATGTGGACGTAACTATAAGCCAAGCTCTGCATGTGCTTATTTGCATTTTGATCTCAAATTGCCCTTCACCTTTCAGACAGGAGCTATTCGTGAACTGTTGCCAGCTATATTCGTCCAATGAAATCATCTGTAAAGACTCTGTATGGTGAAAGAGCTTTGGCAAAAAAATTAATTACATTTCCAGGGATATTGTAATACATTCTTCAGCCTGTCGGCATGAAAATAAATAATTATGTATTGTGGCTGTATAATAATAATCACCCTATGCCATTGTGAGGTTTTGTTTCTAAGGTTGGTGTCATGCTTCCGTACATGTGCTTTTTGTGTTGCGCTCATCATAATAATACAATATTTGATATCTAGATATGACCACAGCATATCAAGACATTTTCTAGAAACAGTGGGAATGTTTTTGTTCATGTCGAGAAGGGGGAGGCAGTCAACAACACGGATGGCAAAGGGAAGGGGCGTTCTAGACTACAAGGGGTAGCAGAGGAATATGAACACTTGTGTTTGTGGTGTGGGGAATGGTAGCGCAGTGGTTCGTGCATTGCAATACCAACCCGGCCATGGCTAATATCAGTGGTGATTATCAGAACCAGTCCTGGCTGTCTCCTAGGTCAACTCAGCCTTAAGTGCAGTGTGTAAATATCAGCACTGGGGGGGGACAAAGGCGGCCAGGCGTGATTCTGGCCACACCAGCCCACGTCGTGTGCCTTATCTGCCTTAACCAGGTGTTCGCTAACAGAACTTGCGCCAACAGTCTGCATGGTTGTACAGGCGGTATCTTTATCTCTTATCTGCATGTGTGGTGTGACGTCTGCAGTCCCACAAGAGGGCCTGAAGAGCCAGGGCTGTTTCGAGGAGATGCGGATCAGCTACATCCGGGAATTGAACCGGACCATTGCGCGGACGGAGAAGAATGCCGTGCAGTGTTGGCAGCGCTTCTACCAGCTCACCAAGCTGCTGGACTGCATGCAGGATGTACGTACAGGCTGTTTGTGTGTGCGTGCGTGCTTGTGTGTGCGATGCGGAGCGGTAGTGCAGCGGGTAGCGCGCTGCGTTACAAATCTAGCGACCCGACGTTCGATTCCCGCTCACGGCAACACCGGTGACGATTTTCTGAACCGGTCCTGGGCCTCCCCCCTAGGTCGACACATCCTCAAATGAGAACCTGGTGCGGTGTATAAACATCGCCACTAGGGAGACAAAGGCGGCCAGGGGTGGTGCTGGCCCCCCACCCCGTCATGTGCTGTGCTGGCCTTCACAAGTGCTTGCTAAAAGCACTTGCCCCAACAGTCTGTTACAGGCTACATGGGGGATTGTTGTCTTTGTGCGTGTATACGGGCACTGGATTTTCCACACTCGTGATTGTACACGATGTCTCCTTGGGCTCAATTGAATGCCACTCTATATAGCACAAGTAATGAACGCTTCCGCCGTTCTCCCATGTGACCTCGTTCAGGTGTTGCTTTTCTGAATTTCACAACAAACTACACATTTCCAAGTTCAGCGGTTTAACCCGATCGGCCGAGTTAATTGCCGAGTGTATTTTATTAGTCGGGCTCATTTAGATCATTGTAAGGAAGAATATGACGTGGATTTACCTCTTGTTTGCATGATATGCGAAACTGCAAACTGTACCAAGAAATACAATTGCATCAATAATAATGGGAAAGCTAACAGCCTATTACATTTCTTAGACTCCCCCTCGCCACCACGAAACGCCGTCTACCCTGTAGTCTCCACGGGCGCCCCACGGTGTAGTCAATCAGCATTTAGCGGCGGTGGGGGATAAAGCAGTGGGTACTCCAAGATGTCTGGTCAGAGTGCAAAAGTTGGTCAAAGAACCCTCTAGAGGGGCTGTCTACTGTAGCTTCCTCCAATAGAGACCTTTCTGCCAGCAAAGGCAGGCCAGGAATGCTACAGATGTCACTTGCCACTGATGTCAGCCATGGTTGGGGGAATCGTACACGGGTCGCCGGGTTCACAGCGGCGTATTTTAACCACTGTGTCATCCGTCTAAGCATTACATAAATTGCATAAAATTTATTTTCTTTTTAATTTAATAGCACTTGGCATATCTTTCCCGGTGCCATCCTTGTTTGTAAAGTTGTTTTTCAATATAAAATGCTAGCCAAGGCTTATGTAAAAAAATGCAGGGCCCATATGTAATGGGGTGCAGGGTCCTGTAAAAAAATCCCACTGTGTGGGCTCCACCCCCACACCTTCAAACTTAACCCAGAGGCATTAAGTCTGGCACCGTGACCCCCCAAAGGGCGGGGCCCTGGGCAGTCGCCCCGATTCGCCGTCGCCCAGGGACGGCTCTGCACACATGGCATCATTACTGTGTTCTGCAAGGGGGTCCGAGGTGTCGGTGGGGATCATAATTGTATAAACTTTGTTATATGCACATCCCCCTCTATCTACCCTTATTTGCATAAGCTCAGCTTAACGTACATGCAACATACTGCACGTGTATTTATAATGATGCTCCAGATAAAGCTTATCATTATCATGTCAACTGAGATGGTAATCTATTTCCCTGTAAATTATGCGAGCAATATTCACATACTCTGATAATTTCCAAGATAAATGAGTGCAGAACCTGGTTATCTGTACACACCATACCTTAATACAGATTGAAATATTTTTAAACCTTCTGAATATTGGGTTATTCCGGCTCATGCGTCACACTGAAACATGATTAATGTGCCTGTTGTATAAGGTGCCATGCAGTGCCTGTAGTTGAGGCGAACTACTTGTTGAAGCGAGAGGGCATATACATTGCTAACATAACATCATTAGTTTCCACAGTTCTTATGGGTTCAATTGAGGGCCTGTGCACCTTTGTGTGATCTGGCATCCATGCGTGACACGTACTACACTTTCTTCAATTAATATATATCCATCTGGGTCTAATTGGGAACCTAGTAAATGTAGCATCAACAGGATTGTATTTGTAGCTCTCATTATATTGAACCTAATTCAAAGCTGGCAGACAATTATTTGTAATAAATAAAATAAAACATATTTACCCTGCTCATTATAACGATCCTAAATGTTCATAAACATAACACATTTCTTTCACTGGGTAATAATACGGATACAAATTCAGGCACATCTTATCAGTATGCACAGTTACTAAACCTTATCAGTGACTAAAATTGAATTTTAATTTTCATCCGTGAAAAATTTGCATTTTTATACATTTTCGTTGTGCGGCAAATGAAAATGTTATACAGCGGTTATGCCTGGCGTTTTTCTAAATCCAGGAGAGATAGCAGAGGTTTGAATTGGTATCAGACAGACTGCTGCAGGCTACACTAAGCCTGTGAGTTTTGATTGTGAACCCAGTGGCCTCTTTGGAGTTTCTGCAACTCAAAGAAAACCCAGAGTATAGTGAACTGCCAACCTCAGTAAGCATGTATCTGTAAATGATCATTTGTGAACTGACAGCGAATGGCACGCACCCTGAAGGTTATGTTTATTACAGGTTATGTTAGACTAAGGTTACTTAACTTAATTTACATTATTGTTATGTAAGCTAGTGTTGCGTATATTGTAGGTTTACCAAAAATGGCATCTATGTTCTACAGTAAAAAAAAACTTGAGTTTGTAATTGGAGTCCTGGATGATCATGTAACTGCTACTATTTACAGATGACATCTGCATCTTGCAATTTGTTTTTTTCTATAGCTATTCACATAAAATATAGCACCAGGCAGCGATTGCATTTATTATACCGTTAAACATGTTCACAGTTAATTTTGGTCACAGCGGTGATTTAAATTTGTAGCCGTTGTAATATAATCCGAGTGTTTGTTTTGTTTTGCTTTTGGATATTCTTGACAGTAGGTCATTTGAATTAGTCATCTTTTAAAATGAGCGCACAAGTATTACGCATGCATCCCTAAAATGGTTCCGGAATTAATTTTAGCCAACAGCGATCAACATATGAGTTCTAAATAATAGAAGGTTATAATATGCTTGCTTTATTGGTTTCATTAAAAAGGCACGGAAAGGGTTAACACTTGAAAGTCATGGAAGCCACAATAATGTATTACTATTGACCATTTTATGTATGTATGAAATATCATTTCATCAAAATGAAAAAGTATGAGAGCATTGGAAAAATGTGGATTAATATTATAAACTCAATATAGGAATGCCACGGTTAATTTTACAAAGAATGTATACAGCGAATGGACGGGAATACAAATGAGGATACTATTCATGGCACAGAGGGACAATCTTGCGTTACATATTAGTTGAGACAAAGGAGTTAACGGGAGATTGATGGACACAACCTTGCGTATAATTACAGCTGCTGTATTCCTTAGGTTGATTAGTATTCACACATTCGGTCATTGTTTGACGTATGCCCGGCTTCGGGCTTGCAAATGGTTAAGCATTCGGCAGAGGCACAATCTGGGCTGGCTGCTGCTGCTGCCAGCAGGTCACGGTGACCCAGCAGGTTATTGCCAGCCCACAGGATCCTCTGGCACTCGGATGATGGCTAGGAATATGTTTTTTTTTGCCCTGAGGAGCCTCGCATAGTAGATTGCAGATGTCCACGAATACTTTCACGGGCTATGCCCCTTTTACAGACACGGAACACAGCGTTGTGTTTTTGGCACTCTTGCTTTGCGTGATGGTAATTTGAAAGTATTGACGCTGTTAATCCAGCCCTACTGTTTAAGAACTGCCGTAACACGGGTGCATTTTTGTTGTTGTGATTTTATAGCGAGTAGCAAATGATGTGAGCTTGCTTCCACCCAACATCCATAGCTGTCAAGAGGAAGAAGCTTTAGATTTATATTTTGTTGTTCAACTATGTTTCATTTGTATGCACTCAAATGTTTAGCGTCTATCAGTCCCCCAGAGGCAGAGTTAAACTAGCTTATATTTGTCGTCAACATATCTCAAAGTTTCCCAAAGATAGATAATTTTCTTAACATGTATTTGGGTATTTTATTTGGATATTGGAGTATAGTACTGCTGTACTGTAACTATGCTTGTTAAACGATAATAATCTTTATTGCTATGATATTTTTGCCATCAATTATTGATTTTAAAAGTCATAAAATCGATAAATATATCGAGTTATATTTTCGTAAAGATTTAACCAGGTGGCGTGCACCACCTATAGAATTTCACGACCGGTTGAAATTGTGGTTGGCTAGTGGCAGCCATCATAAGGCACCACCAACAGGCCTCATCAGTCATTGCATGCTTTGTTTGTTCGACGTTACACAAGGAAACACACACCGGGCCGGACCTTGATTTTTTCAGTTGTTAGACTTTTTGATGTGCGCAACAAACCAATCGGTCATACTAAAAACCAAAATGAACAAACTTAACTGTAATGGATGTAATCTAGATTTGAGTATGTAATGGATGTAGCGCGCGGGTGAGCGCGCGTGCGTGATCGTAATGCGTGTTGTGTGGGACAGATGCGTAGTGGTCAGAGCACCGTATTATAAACCCGGATATCTGCTGACCTTTAGTTTGATTACCAGCCATCAGTGACAAGTGACATCAGAATTGGTCCTGGACCTCCACCGGGTAGACTCATTCTTAAATGATTACCTGGTGTGGTTTGTAAATATTAACATTGGGAAGACATGCAGCTGAGCATTGTTCTGGCAACACCACCCCCTTCATGCGCCATGCCAGCCTCCGTAGCTGGTCGTGAACAGCACTTGCCCCCCCAATAGTCACTTCAGGCTATAGTGGGGGATATGTGTGATGTATTGGTTGTCTGCCTTGCTGTGCTCTGTATGGCCCTGGTTGTGCAAGCTGTGCGATAGATGTCGCGTGCCCTATGCGGTTTGCTTTGTATGTACGCATGTCTGTTGAACTTCTTTTGCACCGTACGTAACCAACCGTTGCTAATTGGAGGTGCAGGGGAAGGACAACAAACTAGACACAAAAAGTAGTTATAAAGAAGTGAGTTTTGATGATGATGAATAATCTAGTAATAGGTTTTTACCCTTTCAACTGGTACTAAAACTGACACCTTTATACAAGGCATCATGTTTGCAATAACCACAACACAAGCAGTCAAAATGCAAACAAAACGAAACAACTCTGATAATGATCATTATCAGAGTTGATAATGATCATTATCAGAGTTGTTTCTTTTTGTTTGCATTTTTATCAACTCTGAAAATACGTTTGAGGCATGTATATTAATAACGTATTTTCAGAGTTGATAATTTTCAGAGTTGATAATGATCATTATCAGAGTTGTTTATTTTTGTTTGCATTTTGACTGCTTGTGTTGTGGTTTTTGCAAACATGATGCCTTGTATAAAGGTGTCAGTTTTTGTACCAGTTGAAAGGGTAAAAGACTTACTATATTTTGCCACTGGTAAATGAGGTCTCATAGTGATGAATAATCTCTCGCAGAACTTCACAACTCCGATCTCGCACCACATCACTCGGAGGGAACGTCTCCTGTTGACTCGCGCCGTGTGACTGTGTCTCCTGTGATGGGTCGCTGCAGCTCGTGAGCAAGCTCCTGGAGTTCTGCTTTGCAACCTTCACGCAGACGCAGGTGTGGAGCGTGGAGTTTCCTGACATGATGGCCGAGATCATCAGTGCGCAGCTGCCTCGAATCATGGCCGGAGAAGCCCGGGCACTCCACTTCCACAAGAAATGAGTCACCCGTTTGTGGCTGGCAAAAGTGCTTGATTGTCGGGGGGGGGGGGCGAGGAAAAAAAGGTGTCAGTTTTGGCTTGGCCCCCCCAGTGGCTCTTTGTAACCAGTCAGAACGTGCACTTCGAGAAAGATCACAGCCCCAATGAATTATCGGTGCATGTCATCTTGTTTTGGAGATATTGAGGCCTGCTGTCTGGCCATAGTTTCCAATAGAAAGCCATCCCCATGTTGCAATTATCCTTCAGCTTCAGATGTATCCTGTGACCCAAGCTCAAAACTAATTTTGAATGAACTTGAGCATTTTCAGAAGCAACGTTTGCAGTAAGGGTTTTGTGAATACCGGAATATAAAGCACCTTCAGTCTGCACCATACATGTTTCAGCAACAAGGGCACATGCTTACATTCTACCCGTTAATTTTTCAAAGAATTCAGAATAGTGTTGGTTGTCCTGCAGAACTTTATAATACTGCCTTGTCCCTTTCTCTTTCCATGAAAATGGCCTTTCAAGAGACACAGTTTGTATTTTTAGCTCCCAGCCCTTTTAAAGAGCAAAATCCAACTGTTTAAACCCACAAGAGACTATTCATGCTATCTTTTTTAGACTTGGCCTAGCTAAATGGATTATCTTTAATCGTCAACCAAAACTAATCTTTAATTCTGTTTGTTATTAATATACATGCCTCAAACGTATTTTCAGATGTATACACTTTTCATTGGCTACTTGGATTGTGGCATTTGCCTGTAAGGCTGTCTTGCTTTGGCCTAGGCCGCTTCCTGAGCAAGAACTTCTATTCATCGCGAAACACAGATGGTAGCGGTAGTGCCCAGCATCCACACAATTTACAGCCGTGGCTCGAAATGTTTCAAAGACAAAAATAGGCATCCCTGTAAAAATAAACAACAAGCCATTTGTCATAATGTACCTCTGTTTAATTCAGAGTTCCCCGATGAAAAAGAGAGCCCCCCCCCCCCTTACCTTGGGCAATTGGTCGTCTATATGGCTGATATGATGTGAAATTTTATGCAGTTCCAATGAAGTGGCGTGCTGCATTGAAGCACCACGCGGTAATTAGTGATTGGCTAAGCGCAGTGCTACAGTGGCGACGTTCGCCCTTCTTGTTGGAGAGGTCACCATTTTAATCGACTTAGTATTTTTTTTTAGATTGCACAGATGTGCATCATGAGCCATCACAAATGTTTGATTTGCAAGGTCTAATGAGAAAACGACATACTTGGTGAGGTCATTCTCTCCAAGTGGTAGTTTGAAATTCTGGAATTGAAATAGTAAAAATATAAAATTCCGGTTACATTATATAATTAACATGACATGGGGAAATCTCACAGGTTTTTTTATTGTCAGTTTTTGTTTTATTGGCAAAGCCGTGTAACATTTTTACATCGTGTCACCTGTAGTTACAGTGATATTGTAAAGAAACCGCAAGATAATTTGTCATTGAGCACTTTGAAAAGTCATTGTTCGGGCTATCGATTTGTCAAAGTCAGCCAAACACTAAAGAAATACATTGCAAGATGGTCAGAAAGATTAGGTTGTCTTTACTCTTGGTAGAACACTGGACACAATAATAGCGCTTGCTTGTGAATTTCACAGGAATTTTTTTTCTTTCGTTTTAACGGCTTGCCTCGGTAATTATAATTTTTTTTTTAGATTTACACACATCGTCATCCATCGGTCAGAATTCGAAGTCGAGTAAGGTGGCGGTGAGGTGCGTGACACGCTCGCATCGTTCACGGCCGTGGCGGCGGACTTATGGGTGCTTTTGGGTGTGGGACTGGAATGTAGCTGAAAGGCAGCGGATGATTGTGAGGGCATAGGCAAACAATATGGCAAGTCACGGCGAGGTACTGGATCCACTTTTACAATGTTGCATGTTGTAACTATGGCAAACTGTAGGACTCTGCTTTTGTCAACTTGTGATGGATCGTTAGCCCTAGTAATCATTATCCTGAGTGAAAAGTCAAGATGGTGTGTACATTTTTTGTTTATTATAACAGGTCGATCACAATGTTATAATAGCGACACTAAGTACAGTTACGAGTCCATCCTGCATTCATAACATCTTACTAGTAGAGCAGGTGAGCTTCAGTGGCTTAAAATATAATCCTTTCATCTCCATGGCTTTGCGGGTGCAGAAAACTAAAAACAGAAAATGTAAGTCGCGTTCATCATCGTTATATCATTTGTGATTTTTTTAAATTTTATTTTTCGATTATTTCGTGCGCAAGAGGAGGGGAGGGGGGGTGGCAACAAGGCACTTCACTTGCTAGCGTGCGGGAAGAGCGACTGAAGAAATCTCTTTGGGATTTTTTTTTTGTATTTAATGATTGTGGAGCACTACTTTTGCAAAATTCTTGTTTGTGCAGCTGGGCAATGGAGGCAGCACGCTTGAGCTTAAAAGAGAGAGGGTTTTTGGGAAAAGGGTGCCTTGCATCGTGAGCGATGGAGCGGGCACCTGCTGCTGTTGTTGTTTGTGCGTACATGGCGAGATCGCGATACCTGAGCAATCTCCCTTTTAGGTGTTGGTTCACTGATTTCTCTCTCGTTTTTTTTCTCTCTCTCGTGATGTTTCTCTTTTCTCTTTTTTTTTCTAAAAAAAAAATGTTTTATTCTGTTCGGTCATTAAATTAAAGTGTTGTCCAAAAAAAAAGTTTGTAATTTATAAGAGAATTAACTCCAAAATACTAACAGACGACAATCATATTAATAGAATGTTTAAAACATGTTATTTTGTTTAAAAAATAAATAAACAAAGAATATATATGGTATAGAGTTTTATATTTAATATATATATTTGGCCATCTTGCTAGGTATTACACAGAATGCACGTACGCAATGGAGAACATGGATCGGCGCGGTCTTTGCTGCATCACTTCACACTTAACGGCACCTGTTACTCAGCGACGGGGAATAAAGGACCTCTCGCCAATTACGTACCAAATGTTGAAGATCCTCATTTTGTATGTTTAATATACTCATAATTATTGGTGGCAAGGTGGGTTTACTTTGTTTGGGTAACTGCCATTTTATTTTGTATGTAAATTTTTAATTTACAGATGCACAAAGAGTTAGTGTTCTGTGGGACGTGAGTTGGTCGAACACTTAAAGGGTATGTGAAGTAAAATGTACAAATGTTGCATGCCCGTAATTTCACATGCAATGTTTTCTTCTTGGATCTGATTGTATATAAAGGAGAGAGGAGAGAGGGGGGGGGGGGGGAAGTGCAGCATTATGAGTATGTCAAACATCGATTGTATCGTTCAAGGCTATAGAGATGAATGCGAGACGTCGTGATTGGCAGCTGTGTTGACGTGAGGAGGGGGCGGGAGGGGGGTCAAATGGTTAACGGCCAGAGAGAGATGTGTGGTGGGTGCCGAACCAGGAGTTTGGGGTGGCGAAGGGTCTGGCGTGAGTGGGTTGCAGAGTGCGAGGTGCTGGGGGCGGAGGGGGTTGAAGTGGCGGTGGTGGTCCCCCCCCCTCCCCTCCCCCTGAGCGATGGGTTTGGGGGGGGGTCACCGTGAAATCTGTGTGGCTGTGGTTGCCCCATCAAAGGTATGGCTGTTAAAAAAAAGAGCCGTTTTCGGTAACCACTGGTACACATTTTAAGGTTTTACATTTTTACAGATATTGTACAGTGGATGCTTCTTTTGGCCTAAGCATGCTTCTAATTTTTTGAGGAGAAAAAAATGGACTAACTAAATGAATCGATTATTTACGGTGGTGCCTTGCATATTGGGATAACAGATGAAAAAGATGTCATATTTTTGCTGTGATTATGTACGTTAAAAAAAGCACTTGCTAAGATGTTAAGTTTTACTATTTTCGTGTCGAGTACTTAATGACCCTTAATTTCCAAAGTACGTTTTTATTTCTGATGGTCTCATAATTCAGGCTGGCAACGATAGTCTGAAGGTGGGCGACATGGTAATCGGACTCGACGTGTTCCTGCTAATCACAAGGCTAATTCCTGTAGGCTTTTTTTGTTTGCATCTGCTCTGTATACAAACTATTAGTGATAAAAAAAACCCTGTTATTCTTTATTTGACGTTGGTTTGTGCTTATTTCACATATTATAAGACACATGCTGTGCATAGCGTCAAACGTTGGTATGCAGTCGTGCCGTCATTCATCAGCGTTGTGTCGTCAATCAGCAGTTCACTTGCCATTCATGAGAACGATCACTTCCTGCTGTTAAGCAGTGCACAAAAGCACGCCGAGCAAAGACTTTGTAATCAACTCGTGTTAATACTTACATGTGGATTTTTTTCTCCCCCCCCCCCCCCCCCCAAGATGGTATCTTCGGTTTACTTTGGCGCCCATCATTTTGGGGAATATCCCAAAACATTAAATTGTGTTCTCTGGACGGAGTCGAGGCTATATATGTGGTCTTGTGTGCGTGGAGGGGAAAAAAATGAGGATGTCCCGTGGCAGAAACACGTGACCGACACTGTGCGTTGACTGTTTCAGCTCTCGCACAACGCACAAGAAAAACGAATTCAATTATAATCTGTCGCTTGACTCACGAGTGTGTATTGAGATTTGTTTGCCCCCCCCCCTTCTCTCAATGTCAGACATTCGAGTGCGTTCCACTTGCAAGCCTATTGGCGCAGAAGAAATCTTTCAGCCACACCGCTCATCAAGCACTGCAATGCATCTGCTTGGTTCTTTCGGTAAAGTCACAAATAATACAAATAAAACATAATAAAATAATTCTCACGACGTTTCGGCCACAACGCAAGCAGCCGTCCTGGTGACGACGGCAGCCACCTGAGGACGGCTGCTTGCGTTGTGGCCGAAACGTGAGAATTATTTTATTATACTCTTAGTTCTTTCGGTAAAGTCACGTAGGTAAAAAATGAAATTAAAATTATTTTTATTAATTTTCATTTCATTTTTTACCTACGTGACTTTACCGAAAAAACTAAGAGTATGAATTCTTGCAGTTCACGAAAGCTTCAAATCTAGAATTATTTTATTATGTTTTATTTTTATTATTTTATTACTTCCCTGCTACGTGACTTTACCGAAAGAACCAAGAAGATGAATCCCTGCAGTCACGAACGCTTTAAATCGAAACACTGCAATGCAGTAAATACGATTTGGCCGTGGCTCCTCCCGGAGCGTGTCAGCCACCCTCCCCTCACCTCGACTTGGCAAGACCCGCCACACGAACCACGTTTGTGACTGCATCATTGGCTTAGAGGGGGGGGGGGTAGGGTAGGTGAATGCCACCTTGATCCGTGCCGGTGCAAACTCTTTGCCATTCGTTCGTAATCAGCTCTGCACCAGCTCTTGTAGTCGACAGAAAGACAGGCAGGCAGGCAGGAGCACCTGGTGATTTATTCCTTAACTACAAAGGAAACCCAACCGTAACGTTTCATTTCAAAATGCACACCACCACCTCTCAAGTGTTATCCACGACCTTCGTTTTGATTCATTTGATGAATTAAGTCGTTTGAAAACACTGGGGGGGAGGGCGGTATGGGGAGACGAAATTATTTGGTCGATTTGCATCAAATTGTGTCGTGTGAGGGGGGGGGGAAAGTCTCCACATGGAAGGCAGCTGGGGATCGAGACTCGATTGCAAAGTCGTGCGGTGCAAGTCGGAGCAGCGTGACACCGTTGGAAATAAAGTCGGCAGTTTTCAAGAGGAGAGAGAAAAAAAAATCGGATTTTAATGTGTGTTAAGCCCTAGCCTTGACCACAAACGCTTCAATTCTGTAGAGTGACCTACATTCTCAAGCCTAATCTTCACGTGACAATTGCATTCAAATCACAGGCCAGATTCTGGCCTGGCCCCCTCCCCACACCGTATCAGTGACGGGGGCGGCTTGTTTATAGCGATACTTCAACACGGTGGCCCGCATCAATTGGTCTCTGTGGTTGGTGGGATGGCATCCAAGACCGATTCCGATGTTACTCGTCGCTAATGTTAATCGTGGGTGTAAATCTAAATCGGGGCACCTGGGTTCATAATAGCGGCGTGTTAAACCGTACTTTATTTATCGTGCCAGGCCCACTATGTTTACACACTCGGAAGAAGAAAAAAAAACCACGCATACCAAAGATGAATTTCGGAAACTGCTGCTACGGTTTGGCAAACCAGAGCTGGCAAGATTGCCACGGAGACGTTCGTTTCTTGGATTGTTGAGCCACTGATGTCACAGGAGCTATCGAGAGCCAACCCACCACCCCCAAGGTAACTCGACTCGTGTGGAGCCTCGCCATCGGTCTTTGGGACAGACGCTTGAAGAAACGCGAGTTCTGCCGGACGGGTGACGACGGCAACCAGGAGCGGTCTTCTTGGTTCTTTCGGTAAAGTTACGTAGAAGGGAAATAATGAAATAATAAAAATAAAATAAACTACATTACTGTACACTACATCATACACTACATTACTATTCACTACACTACAGCAGCGTGTTGCTTAGTGGCGGTCCACATCTTCCTTTCCCGAGCGACGGGTTTTAGCACTACATTACTGTACACTACACTATACACTACATTACTATACACGACACGATACACTACATTACTATCCACTACATCATACAATATATTACTATCCACCAGAGGTGTGGACTCGAGTCATGTGACTTGGACTCGAGTCAGACTCGAGTCATGAATTTGATGACTTCAGACTCGACTTGGACTTGCATAACAATGACTTTGTCCCACCTCTGCTATCCACTACACGTTACTATACACTACATCATACACTACATTACTATACACTACATCATACACTACATTACTATACACTACATCATACACTACATTACTATACACTACATCATACAATATATTACTATCCACTACACGTTACTATACACTACATCATACACTACATTACTATACACTACATCATACACTACATTACTATTCACTACACGATACACTACATCATACACTACATTACTATACACTAAATGACTATCCACTACACTATACACTACATTAATATACACTACATCATACACTACATTACTATCCACTACATCATACAATATATTACTATCCACCAGAGGTGTGGACTCGAGTCATGTGACTTGGACTCGAGTCAGACTCGAGTCATGAATTTGATGACTTCAGACTCGACTTGGACTTGCATAACAATGACTTTGTCCCACCTCTGCTATCCACTACACGTTACTATACACTACATCATACACTACATTACTATACACTACATCATACACTACATTACTATACACTACATCATACACTACATTACTATACACTACATCATACAATATATTACTATCCACTACACGTTACTATACACTACATCATACACTACATTACTATACACTACATCATACACTACATTACTATTCACTACACGATACACTACATCATACACTACATTACTATACACTAAATGACTATCCACTACACTATACACTACATTACTATACACTACATCATACACTACATTACTATACACTACATCATACACTACATTACTATCCACTACACGATACACTACACTATACAGTATACACTACATCATACACTACATTACTATACACTACACTATACACTACATCATACACTACATTACTATACACTAAATTACTATCCACTACACTATCCACTACATCATACACTACATTACTACCCACTACACGTTACTATACACAGACCAGCCGAGCGACAGAGTCCCGCCAGTGTGTCCTGGGCCGGTCGCGGGTTCTTCGCCCAGTGGGACGTTGCTGCCCAGTACAGTTCTCGGGGTGGCAGTCTACGGGGGGCCCCATCCTTACCGGGTGCCCGAACCACCTCAACCGGCTCCTCTCGATCCGGATTCACGAGCCCCTCAACCCGATCACGGAGAGCGATGAGGCCCCGGTAACCCTGCGGATAAACCTCATTTCGGCCCCTTGTACCCACCGATCTCATCCTTTCGCCCATTGCCCAAAGCTCATGGACATCGTCGGGTGACGGTGGGAAACACCGATGGACCTGGAAACTGCGAGCTTCGTTCGAGAACTCGGCTCCCGATCTCCCGCTGCCGCTCTCCGTCACTCGCGAAAGACACCCCGAGGTACAGGGGGATCTTTGTTTTCTATATTCCACGTGGTCAACGGCCGTGGGTTCATCATGGGACCTCCTTTGCCAGTACCAAGATATACTAATAGGGGGTTTCCCCCTTTTTTCTGGCAACAAAACTGACACCTTTTGCAAGAAATCGTGTTTACATTAACCACAATACTTGCAGTCAAATGCAAGCAAAAAACCCACACTCTGATAATTTATGCATTGTCCTTGAAACTGATTGGTCCATACCAGAGACAGCTTTTATTAGAGCCGAGTCTCATATGGTGTTCGACCAGATGACGCCAAAAGGCAGTGGGTTCTTTACGTTTAAACTAAAGTGGGGGGTTGGGGTGGTTCTGACAAATGGAGTTTGGCCAGAATATGTTATGAACACCCTTTCTCCCTGTCGCCTCCAGCATAAGTACAAGCTCGAGTGTTTTCACCGTGGTATTTGGTAGAACCCAGTGGGTTCCGGCAGGCGAGACTGCATTGGCTGCGTCATGTAACCCGCATGCCTCCCCCCGCATGCCCAGCCACCGCATGACCAAGCAGATTCTGTTGGGTGGGAGAGAGGGGGGGGGGCTAAATGGGTGCGGCACGGGCTGGAGAAGAGATGGACTGATTCACACTTGCAGATGACCGGTACCAGCGGTGTCAGGGTCGGCCTCTGTGGAGGAGGCTTGCAGAAGGACGCGACTGGGCACAACAGAGGAGGGCAGAGGAGCGATGCCCACAACAATGAGCCGGGCGGATAAAATAAAGCAACTTGGCACAGTGGGGAGCACGGGTGGTGCGTGTGCCAGTCATCAGTCGACCCATGGCACCTGGGTCTGTCCCGTGATCTGCCAGCAGCAAGCCTCAAGGTGCACCTAGCCTGGCACGAGCGACGTGGTGACGTCACCGCCACTTCGTGGTTGTCGTTTCCGAGATTAATTTGCTGCACCCATGTACCCATTGGCATGTGTGAGGATATTCTCCCTGGGACTTGCTACCGCACTGCATAGAATAATACAGAAATGTTGAGTCACTTTCCTACCATTTCTGATGGAGAAGTAATCGCAGTGT